ACGATCACACCTCGGACCTGATTTAAAAGGACAAGATTTGGACTCCAATGAACAATAAATTGTGGACCTGACCAAAATCCAAGCAATTAATCAAGGCTTAAACCCAAATAAAATAAAATCAAACCGGAGCTAAAGTCAAATCAATATGAACATGCAATTGAATCTGCAAAGATTTCAAAAAACTTTGAACAAGCACTTGAACATGTACTATGAACTCGTACTTGAATTCAGACTATACGACATTAAGTGGGGGCTTGTAAACTTGATAAATTCAAGTCTGAATGAAACTGAACTTGGATTCAAACACATACAAGGAACAAAGCTTGAATCATACACGAGGGAACTCAAACTACAAGAACACTTGTACATCAATAGTGACTCAATGTCGGATGAAATACATCGATCCTTGTAACCAACATCAAGGTGCAAGCAGGCACACTACAAGACCTCAATGCGCACAAACAAAGAATATAATGAACTCGTACAACGACCTCTACGAGATCAGGTGCATCGTACCTGCAAGAACAACAAGCTGTTGCAAAATGCATATGTGCTCCCCCTATATGCATTATTGAAACCTCCAGTACTAGCAACAACGCCTGTTGATTGAAGAAGGTGACACTGGAGATCAATAGTGGACCCATCGTCGCAAATAAATTGTGAACAACAAATGTGGACATGATGCAGATGTAATAGACTACTACGACAATCCCTACAAGATTGAGACAACAATACTACCACTTGATGGTGGAAGACCTGTCCCTACAAACAAGTGCAATCATCCAAACCACTTGAGATTGGTGAAAGGTGCATATGATGCAGAAATAATGGCTCCTCTACGAACACCTCCAGGAAGTTGTAGTTGATACAACGGGTCCCTGCAAATGAATATGAGCCGCTTGTGTATAACAACAGTGTGTATATCGTAGGCACAACGAACCATTGTGGACACAAGTACGGATATCACCTACAACAACGGTGATTGAGATACTGCAAAGTATATCGGGTATGAAGACAACTCGATGCACAAAAAAGGACACCCCCTGACAGAAGGGAAGGGATGTTTGAACAAATTAGAACTAAACTTCCTAGTGTTCCAAAGTTCCTTCTTAGTTCTATACTTAAGAAGAAAACAGTTCTAGTGTTCACAAACACCGGAAATAACAAGTCTACTACACTAGTGATCTTGGAAGGAGTTCTTTTCAAGGCAGTGGCCATGAACTTCAAAGTAGACCTCCCGATGAATGAGAAAAGGAAGTCTGTATCAGAACAATGAAATATCTCATTGCAATCAGGTGACAGCGCTACGATTCACCTGTATCCAAAAGCAGGAGATTCGTTAGTGCACTATAATCCATCTACTGAAAGACAATAAATAGTGTACGACAGTCTACTTGTACAAAGTAGCAAACAATTCAATTTACAAGCTGCTATAAATCGCCACAGGATCTGCAACACTTATACAAGCAAACTGAAGACGTCTATAATCTACAACGCATCGCCACCGGATCCACAACACTCATATTAGCGGACAGAGGCGTATATGAGCTCTCAAATGAAATGTTGTGCATTCAAATATCAATTACCTGTATAACTAAAATATTTCAACATACCCCTGCACGTGCACCATAGCTTGTATACACATAGGTATACAAAGGGGTATGTCAAATCAATGAAATTTAAAACACCCGCATGGGCCCCGGCGAGCATGTTATTGGTACACACGTGATGTCTAGGGATGCTGTACGGGTTAATAAGTGAATTCAAGTTCGAACCCGATTCTCCTATGTGGATCAATAGGAGTTGACATGGTTCGAACCATTAAACTAATACAAGGTTGTGGTGATCGGTATATATTTGTTTTAATACATTCATATTAGGCCTTCAATAAAAAGAATTCATTAACAAAGGCATAAGACATATGAAATCCGATCCTCCGTCGATGGCTCGACAGAGTTGACAAGGTTCATGCACAAAACACAAATATCTTTAAATGTAAATGACCCCTAACACCCCGATGATGGCCGTGTTGAATGAAGATCTCAACTGGAGGGATTTATAAATATTTTTCAAATGCCACCCAAATATCCATCAAAATTCAAAATTCTAAAATATTTAAAATTAAAATTCAACCATCAAATACTTAAATCAAAATCCATCAATCATCCACAATAATTTGCTGGGGTGGACAAATTAAAATTGGCTTCAGCTCACATAGAGCTAATGTCTGGTCGAGAATATTACTAGGATCCATTCTCAAACAATCTCCTACCAATAAGGACGTGATACGTGTCCTCTAACTAGCGGTTTTACAGCCAAATGGCACCGCAGGATAAACGGTTATGACTCGGGGCCCTCTGAACCGGGTGATTTTGTTGCCAAATGGCATCACGAAATACCGGTTATGGCTAGAGCCAATACACTCTTTAATGTCATCAAATTCTTGAGATATGAATGAATAAGATATAATTGATAGGGTACAAAGCCCTCTGTTAGCTAAGGTGGATTTAAATTTGTCCCCTGAGACAAATACCCACCCTAGGTCTACAAGGTCCCCTTGGACGAAGCAACCCATGGCTGCCGACAAGGATCCTTCTGTCTGGTTGGGTTGACTACCTCCTCTGACTAAGTAGACCAGGGACCTCGATGGCCCGGGACGACGGAACCATGAGATCTTGATCGGGTCCATCATTCATTCCCCCACCATCTGCTTTAAGTGCAAGATGGTGCCATTTCAAATTTTAAATATCAAATCTTCCAAACCTTAAATATCCAAATCTCAAACCCAATGATGCTACTATATGCTAGATAACATGTATCTTTACGTATCTGATTGACTACTAGCCTTAATCGAAAGTTCTCTCTTGTTATCGGGAGGGGTAATTAACTATAGGTGCTTGCGCCTATAGGAAACCAGAACTCAGTTCATAAAATCTTTGCAAAATGAGGGCGAAATCTCTGAGTAGTGTCTTATCTACAAACCCATCTGCCTTCCCAAAATTTACCCCAGAACTTAATTCCGTTAAAACTCCCCTCGCCGAAAGAAAAAGCATACAACAGTCGTGCGGGCGGAGGCCGGGGCTGAATTTTCGGAGCCCAAACATGTAGAGGTGGGAAAACACTGCGTAAAAGAAAAAAAAATGGAGAACATGTTATTTTACATTCCTTATTTGATGCAATAAAAAAAAATCACAAAATACATACAAATTAGGCCTTCCTTCCAAAATACCACAAAATGACAAAGTACAACAATTTAAACAAAATACAGCTTAACTTTCATATTATAAAGATGACACATACAAACTTATACCATAAAACACCTAAAGTTGCTTTTAAATTGCTTGAGAAGAAAGATACATATGGTATGGACACTTGCGGAGAGAAGAATTAGATAAGAAGCCCGAGATGAAATCGTAGAAAGGAGAAGAGAAAAGGAACAAGCTCGCAAGCTTTTCCAAGAAGAAATCCGCAGGTTTTTGTCTCCAAAAATTCTTCACATCATCTCTCTCTTTTTTTTTTTTACTCCACAAAACTACTCATATATAGATGTGAAAAGAGTCAGCCAAACAGCCCCAAACATCACCAACCGAGCCAATCAGGAAAAGGGAAACAGAAGGCCAGCAGGTGGCTCCAGCAGCAACAGCCGAAGGGACCACACAGGGGAGAGGAAAAGCCAGCCACAGGGAGAGGAAAAGTCAGCCACGGGACGAGCCAGGGGAGAAACCGAAAGGCCAACAGAGGGGGAAGAACCAGGACACCTAAATAATGAGCTGAAAATGACATTCCATTAAGAACAGCAAAAACCGAACAACCAAGCCCAAACCGAGGAGCCAGCAACTGCCCAAGAGCCAAGGCACATAAATCGCACCCCCCCCCCCCCATCATTATTCCCTAATATCTAGTCAACTCAATGATATGTTCACCTAGGAACTTTGCAATCACCCCCCCCCCCCCCCCCATCATTATTCCCTAATATCTAGTCAACTCAATGATATGTTCACCTAGGAACTTTGCAATCCTGCATTTAGAAATATTTGACAAGTTAGAAAATATAGACTTTTACTAGCCAATTTGAGGGAGATTGTTGAAGATTCAAATGCAGGCAACAAAAGGAAACCTCCATCGATAATGTTAGGAAGAAGATTTGGAAGAATGAAAGCCAACACAAATACATGGTCCTTAGAGGATTTAGACTGGAAGACATGAACTAAATAATAATGTTGGGCTAGCAGAAAGCACACTGGCGAAGAACATCAACAAAAGAAGAAAAAGGCTGGCCAACAACAACATATTTGGAAGAAACGGATGATTGGTAGGAATGGTTGGTGGACAACAACAAATTTGGAAGAAACGGATGGTTGGTAGGAATGGATGTAGGACAATAGCAATAAAAAGAAGGATGGGCTCATGGATGACAATAGATTTGGAAGGAAAGGGTTGGCAGGTGTAGGTGGCGGACTGTATTGAAACAATGAGTAAATGCTGGTGGAAAACCTTATGGAACGTTTTCAAATTGTTGTAATTGTTAACCGTAATGACTTTTCCTAAAATTGTATCGATTCCTAAAATATTCTAGGCAACACTATGCTTATTTACCCCCCTTTGTATAATAGTAAAACACAAGCCTTTTTGCCATTCTTGTCTATGCCAAATATGAGAGAGAGAGAGAGAGAGGCTCTATATGCTTGCTGAGTAATTTTTCGGTGTATTTGTTGTATTAATTTTATAGGGCAGAGCATATAATTTTAAAAAGATTCATCACTTATTTGGTGATTATTATTCACTTAGTTGTTCCAGAAAACATTTCTTTCTTAATTATTTTTTCTAAGGAACCTTGTTTTTAGTAGTCTGCATCATGTAGCAGTCCTTGGTAAGTGATTTCATCTCTCCCTGCTTTAGTAAAATATTTGGTTAATGTTTTGGGTTTTCCCATCATTTAAAACAACTCATCCTTTTTACCTTTCTCTTCACATTATTTAACATTGTTGCCTTATTTTCAGGAATACCTGGCTGTGCCAAATCAGCCCTCTGCAAAGAAATCTTAAAAAATCCTGGCATGTTTGACGACAATCGGCCAGTGCATAGTTTGATGGGCGATTTGATTAAAGGTTTGTTGATTCTTTTAGATTGTATAATATGTATGAATACAAGGTACTGTGAAGTAATTCTCTTCTTTGTGCGACTGGCCTACTATTGAAATTCTCATATTATTTTATAATTAACAAAAGAGCGCATTTAGAAAAATATTCAACTAAGATTTCTTTTATAGATGTATCCTTTAATCTAGCATGATTTGAAGTATGTCCTAAAATATGGCATACTTGTAAAGTTTGCATAATACGTTGCCATAATCCTTCATTGGAGAGCTTAGTGGATTTGATGAAGTTTGTATTCTTATTTCTCTTAATTCAAGCTCATTTATGGTATCAGCATCTTACATGTAGAACTAGTCGGAACTATTTTTTTCCTCATGCGCTTCTTTTTTTTTGAAAATCTGATATTTATTTTATTTTTATCTAGTATTATAAATTAGATTTTAATCCAAAGTACCTAATGTGTGAGAGCATTATGCCATGACGGGACATCTAAAATAGGACATCACTAGCAACTTCTTTGATTTTTCTTATTGTAAAAAAAGGAAGAAAATAAAGATGCACGCTATTCCTACGCGGTCCTACACTTCTCACCTTCTTTTCTTCCGCTTTGCTTGCAACTCGTGTCATGAAATCCTCACCTCATTAGTCACAAACACATGGAGCCAAAACTCATGTTACTCACTCACTATGCCCGTGCATGCTTTGCCATTTCCGCCTGCTAGAAACCATAGCCAACCTTACCCACTTTACCTAAGTACTCCATCTACACCGCGCAACAAGACATCAACATTGCAACAACATCCCAACCACTCGCCATCCCCTTTCTGTCTTTAAAACCTCATTCACTGCTATAAAGATGAGGACATGCTCAAATTTTATCCACAAATTATTAGAAAATTTTAGGCACAAGCTTATTCCTTTGGTGTGCCATCATGCGAAGACTTATACTCATTGATCTTTGATTTGACGAGGATGAAGAACACTCTACATTTGTTGATCTTTGATTCAGTTAGAGTTTCTCCTCTCTTCATTGATCTTTGATTCATTACGGTTTTTTGGCCACCATCAAGCGATAGCTATTATGGTTGTTTATGTTCTCTAGTGTAGTTGGCATACTCGTAAGCTTTGGTTTGTTGTCGAAGTTCTCTTGTTTTTCATCAATGTCACTGGAAGTTTGCCATTGAGAAGTAAGAAGACCAATAAATCTGCCTCGGTAAAAAATGGCATAGGCTACTAGATGCTAACAGTCTTCACGTCCAACTTTGCTATAATGCCCCATGTGAAAGGCTTTCAAAAGAATAGAATAATAATAAACAAGTTTTCAAATATCTATTATACGCAGCGTACTAACAAAGAATTTCTTTATTAAGCTTTGGGTTGCATTTCTCTCTAAGATTGTTTCTGTTCTGTTGATTTCTTTTCTATAGTTGTTGGGAAATATCATTTATTTTGATGCACTATCTTTGCACCCAAGCCCATGATTTGTCACGAAAATCATAGCTATCTTTGTAGCCAAGCCTACCATTTAACACAAAAATCAACACTGAATTGAATTTCTGCAGCCAAGTAAGGGGTTGCAAACTAATAAAGCATATAACAAATTAGTTGAATTATACATTGACCGCAGAAATAGTTTTTTTTTCCTGGAAAACTATTGTTTGAAGTTCTAGAGGCTATTTTGGCAATCCATGGAATTGCAAAGGCGGCATTCCATCTCTGTAGACAAGGTGGCAATCTATTAGCCTAGGGGAGGTAATATTACTCAGATTTTTAGGAAAATAAATATGTGCAAACTGTAAAATATCTTTCTTATTTCTAATGTAATTAATATTTCCATAGATAGAATTTGCCAAGAATAACTTAGAATCATGCCATATAAATAGAGGGTCAAGTCCCCCCGATGAAATACACAAAATTCAGATAGTTTCACTTATCCTCATGTCTTAGAGCTGTAGAAACAAAGGAATCTTAAGCATTTTTCTATGTTTTACATTTTCGCAGCCTCAAAATCCTTTTTGAAGTCCCTTTTTTCTTCCCTCTTTGTCCACTTCCTCCACCTGTTACTGGAACGATAACTGCCATCCACTACCTCCATTTACTACTCCACCACAAGGACACTTTTTATCCACCGCTTCCACTTGCTGCTCTACTGCAAGGATAATTTTTGTCCATTGTCAACTTCCAAAACAGGAAATTTCTATTTTTCTAATTAAAGAAACGGCTTCAGAAGTTGCTAACCAATTAAGTAGACCTAATCAAACTTTTATATGTGAATACAAAATTCTTCAATCGTTTTTCAAAATGAATGTAATAAATTATCTTAGTTGATCTTAGATTGCGAGAACATTTTCTGAAAAGAAAGTGAAAGTTGGGCTACCTTATTGGCCACATACCGAGCATAGATGATCTTAATTTTTCTACATGGGTTGTAGAAGATTTCTCAATTATGTCTTGGTTATGTAATTTAATGAACTAGAAGTTAGAATCTACATGTTCCTAGCCACAATTAGTGATATTTAGGATATTGTGAAGCGAACATATTCCAAAGGTGCATGATGTCCCTGTAGTCTATGTGGTCAAGACAAAAATTTACACAGCTAATCATAGTACTCATTCGGTTACCGAATATCATAATACATTAAAAATTCCGGGACTCAAACTCAATTTTTGCTAGTGCATCATAATGAGATGTAGCGAAGAAGTTGCAATGCTAAAATCATTAGAAGTTGCAATGCTAAAATCATTTATGGAAGAAGTAAGTTATGAATTCCTATCAGGAGTAAATATTGAATATGACCAAGTACGCATTTAAATACTTGGAAAAGACTCACTTTTCAACCTAAATAAAGTTTTCTCTGCCATTAGAGGGGAAAAAAGGAGACATCTCCAGTAACAAAATTAATATTGTTGTAATTCTTCATACTCTTTGGGCCACGTCAGATGTGTTGGCTTTGTGGAGAGATAGCTCCAGGAACAAAATTGATAATATGTTGAATATCACGCAAAATGGGTAAACTATAAGGAAAATCGTGAGGTAAAACATCATGGTATTGTAACAACGACAAAACTTCCTTCTTTACAAGTTCCTCTTCCCTATTTTCTTCTAAAACCATGATAACATACTTTTCCAGTGGGTCAGGTAGATCCCTTATGAACATTAACCTTGAGATTCAAATCAATCACCATATTTTGCTTAGTTTCCTCATTTGGATGGTTCAATACCACATTCTCAATATATATGTATTCTTGTGGCTGTCATGGATGTCATGCCTATCATTTTGCCATAACTAAAGTAAAAGTAAATGGCTGACATCCATTGGAATAATGTCGCGCTAAGCCTCCTAAAATATTTGTTGGTAGAAAATTATACTAAAAATCATTAGACACCTTAATTTGATTTCCATTTCGCAACAGTGATAGTTTTTAAGGCCTAAAGCGTTTTGTTGTAGAAAGGTTTAATTAGTCCACCATCTTTGTAGACAATATTGTCATCAATAATGCATTAAAAACTTTTCTTTTTACCGTACACCATGCATGAAATATATTGTGGTGAAGCCACTATGGTTCCTTGTTAATGATGACCCTCAGCTCGTCGAACAACAAATATCTCTCATTCATTAGCTTGCAATGAGTGCTCCCCTTCGACTTCTGGTACTTGTACATTTTCATCTTTTAGTGGGACTTCTTCAACTAATGTTAACTTAGCAATTGGGGCAATTGAAAGCAATATGACCAGATGCTATGTCAGCTATGGACATGAGTAATTGCAGATCAAAATTATTAATTTGTTCTTTTTTGAATTTTATGATCAACAACATTGCCTGGGGTGTAAGCATAACTCTAATGAGTAAATATAATTATTGGCTGTATTTATATTAACAGAAGTTCGTGGTAGTGTCTATTAAAATTAATTAATTAAACTTATTGCATGAAAATGGTATATCATGATATCTACTGGAAAAAGTACCATTATTTTGATAGTGGCTGTTACTTAACAAAAGGTCTCTGGTAACTTTACTGAGTTTGCAAAAATCATCCAGGACGATATTGGCCCAAGGTAGCTGAGGATCGCAAGAAGAAACCATATGCTATAACCCTTGCTGACAAAAATGCACCCAATGAAGAAGTGTGGAGACAGGTAAAATGATACTCAACTTATTAGCATATTCTATTTGACATGATCATGTGCCTTGTGTTTTTTTTGTTCTAAATTGGCTACTAACATGAATTTCCACTTGTTAGATCGAGGACATGTGCCGGAGTACAAAAGCATCAGCTATTCCAGTTGTTCCTGAATCTGAAGGTCCTATGCATATCATTTAAGAAATTTTCTTATTTTGTTAATGCTATTCCTTAGCGTTAGTTTGGACAATACTTTACCCACCAACATGCTTTTCTTGAAGTTATTTTGTTTTTCACCGTTTCTCTTCTCTCTCTCATTGAATGTGACTGCATGTGCATGCCCTGTGAATGCTCCTTCTTTTGGTTAATTAGAAATACTTTATGGCCAGCAACTTAGCAAGCAATCTATAATTAATAATAAAATTATCATAATTAGTTTTATCCCATTAACTGGCTCGAACTTATGAATCATTCTTTAGCTTTCATTCATGTTAATTGCTGCATGTGCTGTTAACTTCAGTTTAAGAAAATGTGAATTCATTAAATTATAGCAAAATCATAGCAATTTAATTTGAACTAGTTGCTTCTTTTGAAATTTACTTATCTGTATTCTTTATTGTTCCTTAAGCACAAATTAATTTTTTTGCAATTTCTATTAATTTTTCGTGTACCTTGGCAAATTGATCTATTCAATTATTTTTAGTTCTATTATAATTGAAAGGATTTTGATTAGATCAATCTTATTTCCCATGTAGGTAGTGGATTCCACTGTTACTTAATGGTTAAAATTTGACTATTGAGTATTTTTGCATTCTATAATCTTCTTCTAAATCTTATTTGTCATCATTGGTAATAAATTATGTCCGCTAAATGTTCATTTGAATTAATGTTTTCAACAAGGGTATATAAAACAATTTGCAGTTAGTGTTGTCAGAACTCAGAAGTACGCTTTTAAGAACTATTTTGAAGTGAAGTGATTCATTGCAAGGCTCTTGTGGTCTTCTTCGTTGTTAAGTTGTGGGTTGCAAGCAATTCATTTTGCTGTCGGTTCAAGGGCTTTTAGTGTTTACATTTAGAGGGTTTAGGCTTTACGATCCTGATTTATTGTAGTTTGATGGCTTGTGATTCTTCTCTTCACATTTAATGCAACTTCTGGCTCCTCTTTGTAAATGCAGATGCAAATGCCATACTAGATGGTGAGCTTTTCTCGATCAGTCACTGGAATGTGCGATGTAGAGAACACGTTGTGTGACAATAGGAGATGCAAATAACCTCACGTAGATGCATTTCTCAATTTTAAGTTGTGGATTATTTCGTCAATTTAATTTATATCTTCAATTATTTTTAATGAAAATTGTGATAATAAGATTGACTATAGTGACCTTAGCACCCTAAATGAAAATAAAGATTTTTGTTTTTATCGGCGTATTAATAAAACTGAAGTTAGAGAGGTTTTAAAGAAAATAAAGGGTGGAAAAGCTGTTGGACCTGATGATATTCCAATAGAGGTGCAAATGCTTAGGAGATGAAGAAATTTCTTGGCTTACTAAACTTTTTAATACTATTTTGAAGACTAAAAAGATGCCAGATGAGTGGAAAATGAGTGTGTTAATTCCTATTTTTAAGAATAAAGGTGATGCACAAGATTGTGCGAATTATAGAGGAATTAAGTTAATTTGTCATACTTTAAAACTATGGGAGCGAGTTATGGAGCATAGGTTGCGGCGTGATCTTAATATTTTCTCAAATCAATTTGGATTCATGCCTGGGTAGGTCGACTATGGAAGCCATACATTTATTAAGAGGTTTGATGGAGAATATAGAGAAAATAAGGAGGATCTATATATGTATATTATGGATTTAGAAATATATGATAAAGTTCCAAGAGAAGTGCTATGGAGAGTTCTTGAAAAATAAGGAGTTAATAATGCTTATTTTAATCATTAAAGATATGTATGCAGGAGCTATTACTTGTGTTCAAACACAAGGTGGTTTGACCAAGTATTTCCCTATTTTGTTGGGTTACATCAAGGGATCAGCCTTAAAGCCCATATCTTTTTGCTTTTAGTCATGGATGTTCTCACTAGACATTTGCAAGAGGATGTACCTTGGTGTATGCTTTTTGCTGATGAATTTCTTCTTGTTGATAAGACTAGAGATGGAGTTGAAACGTAAACTTGAATTATGGAGGTCAACATTAGAGAGCTTAAGGTTTTCGCTTGAGTAGATCTAAATCAGAATATATGGAGTGTACCATTTTAGTAGTAATAACCTATGTAGGGGATTGTGACTTTGGACGATCAAGTCATGTAATAGAGTACACATTTTAGATATCTTGGGTCTATTGTTCAGAGTGATGGTGAAATAGATGGGGATATTATCAGCAGAATTCAAGTTGGATGGTTGAAGTGGAGGAATGCATTGGACTTGTTGTGTGATAGAAAAGTACCCCTCAAACTTAAGGGAAAATTCTATAAGAAGGTAGTGAGGTCTGCAATGCTTTATGGTGTTGAATGTTGGCCATTAAAAGAAAAGCACAATACTATGTTAAGTGTGGCAGAGATGAGGATGCTCAGGTGGATGAGTGGCTTTACCCTTAGAGATAGGATACGAAATGAGCATATACATGAAAAGTTATGAGTAGCTCCAGTAGAAGATAAGATTAGAGAGAGTCGCCTTAGATGGTTTGGTCACATAAACTGCGGCCTTCCAATGACCCGGTTAGGAGAGTAGAGGTATTAGATTTGACTTATGTTAAGAAAGGTAGAGGCAGACCTAAAAACACTTGGTTAGAAAATATTAGGAATGACCTTTCTTTATTAGATTTAAACCAGAATTTGACCTTTAATAGGACACAATGGAGAAAAAGAATTCATGTGGCCGACCCCACGTAGTGGGATAAAGGCTTGATGTTGTTGTTGTTGTTGTAATTATTTCTTCATTTACGTTTGAGTCCTTGGATTCTTTGATGTCTGTTTTTTAGCTGTTCATTGACTCAGTTTTGTGCTCGTGCTATAAGCGTGTTAAACATCTCCTGAGTTTAATATTTTAAATTTATTCCTAGTTGGTAATCATTTTTCTTTTTAATATTTGGCTTACAATGCATAGATCATTCCATCATTATGATTTTTATGAAAGTTGTTGATGGTATAATGCCAGTAATGTTACCTTTGGTATATGCTTATCAATTAATTGAAGCTTGTGCTTTGCTCTGCAAAAAAGTAAAGAAAATCGTTGCATGTCACATTACATTTTGTGCGTGGATAACCTTGTTATGCATCAGTGATTTGGTTTATGACTTAGTTGTGGTGGGAAATGACTTTAGATTGGACTAATGCTTATGTTTAGCGGAAAGTTCACTCACTAGCAGTGGACTATATGTTGGTACTATCTTTAAAATATTTGATAATGATGTACTGCACCTAGCTAGAGGGTTCTTCAAATACCTTTTAGTCTTATAGAAATTTTGTAGGCTTCATCTAGAGTTGAGGAGAATAAAATTTCTCTTTATAATATCTTTGTTCACTAATAAATCTAGATATGGTAATCCATGGTGGTTGTAATAAAGAACGCTTACCAACAAACTTATTAAATCTATCGAAGTAATAAGGTCAATTCTATCTATGACATTGTGCTTGTATATATATTTTTTAGAATTATATTTCATTTCAGTTAAAGTAATAATAGGCTGTCTATTTGAACATTTCATATCAATTTCAGTTTTCTTCTAAAATCGTTTAGTCGATCCTACAAATTTTATTTTAGGAATTCTAACACGCTGGTCACCCATTTTATTCTAATGAAAGACGTATTCTATTCCATCTAACCAATCTGAAAGACTATGAACTTAAGTTCTACCAAATGTTAAAATATATTTCTTATCTTTAGGGAACATCAGAATATTCTTCATCTGATATTATCATGAACCTTTATGAACTTAATTTCTTCTTATACCTAGGTATTGATCCCTTGCTTCTATTCCAAGGTTTATCTGACTGACTGTAGGGATGACCTAATGGATTTTTCATTATATATATTATTTCATCAAACTTATTCATATATATATTTTTAAATCTTTTGAATATCACACACCTTTTTGTAGTGACATCTATAGACATTTGAATGATTTGCGAATACCAACAATGAAGCAATAATGCATGAATATAAAAACTAATGACCAAAGATGCTACGCTTTCAGCTTAAGAATATGATCAAATTTTGATGCATACAAAATACTTTTTGATTACCGAATCAAATAGTTTACATAATAATAATCTTTTACTTTCGTCCATAGAAACCTCAATAATTAATAAAGATGTTTATTTGCTAGTTTTATAGTGGTGGGCAGCAGCCAGCAGGTGATGCAGTTATATAATGGATAAAAGTTACTCTAATCTATTATTGTTATCAAAGTGGTTCAGGTATGGGTTACCTGATTGAAATAAGGGCAAAGGGTTGAACTGAAATGTTTGAATTTAAAATTTCAGATTTGAAGCTTCAAAATATGAAAATTGAATATTTGATAAGGTTACAAATTTTGGTGGAGGATTTTGTGCAGGCTATTTTAGAGTTTGTTTTGTTTTGAATTTGAATGGAATTTCTTTTAAAAAAGGGCTATAGACTATAGTGCTGGGAGATGGATTCTAATGAGTGGCGAACAACAGGGTGGCTTGACAGTAAGCCTGGGTTGGTGGTCAATGGCTTGAAACAACAGGTTCAAAAGAGAAATAATGCAAAAGTAGAGGTCAGATAATTTTTTTTGAAACAGGCTAGCAAGAGAAATATATACAAGGAATGGAATAGGGATTGCAGGAAACAAATCTACTTAGAACATGCTCATGGAAAATTGACCCATTGCTAACATCCGCTTCTTTGAGTTGTGTCATGTGCAGTGAATAAGTTCAGTGAATGCGTTGGATCCTTAAATATGCATGATCTGCTAAAAGTGTAACGTATCATGCCTTTTTCTTATGTATCTCACATGTAATGATAGCTTAGATGGATAGAGTGGCCACAAAGGTGTGGATTTTAGTGGCCGTGATGATTCAAAACAGAAGCTTCAAGAGTTGCTAAAGGCCGCTGACTTTTCTTCATGCTTAATCTTGTTTTTCTCTCCCTCTTTCTTTTTTTTGTTCTCTCTCCCTGTCATCATGCCTATCCTTTTCTGTTTTAGTATGTGAT